TCATTTTCTCCTATTATAACCTGATGAGGGATAAGCAAGCAAATCCATAGGCCCAAAGTAACTGTTTTCCTATAAGAACAAAGCTAGTAGTACAGATTTGATGCCAAAAATCTCAGAGAATACACATAATTATGTTTATTTCTTTGCATTTTCTCATTGCCTTGTATTCCTGCAGAATATAATTTGTAAAGCTAGATTTCTCAACAGTGAGTTGGGCTCCAGAGCATTTGGGCCCAAGGGCCCTGGTAAAAGAAGCTCCAGGGGAAGTTGGGTTCCCTCATCCCTGGTGGCTTGCTTTCAATTTCTACACGCTAGAGTCTCGGCGTAACTTCAGTCGAGGGCCTTGAGTTGAGCTGCTGATTTTTGTGTCCTTTGGGCGAGGAAAAACCAATTACGCAGGTGTTTTCCTATTTTTTTTCTTGTTCTCCTAAACGAGCTTTGAGCTGTTGAGCATCAGAATTTGAAGTGGGTAGAAGATAATAAATGGAGCGGACGCTGTGGGGACATCTACCGCTGTTAGTAAGAGCAAACTCCAAAGAATCGGTGGAATACATTCTTCAATCCCTCTGGAAAACTCGCAAGACTGGCCTCGACGCCGATGACCGCCGCCTCATCTGCGAAATGCTTCAGCTCCAAACCGACTCCGACCTCGACCCCGTAATTAACCGCTCCCTTGCGCACTCACACACTCTCTCTATATACAAAAAGACTTGTATTTCGTTATTATTACTTGCTTAAAGTACAATGTTTTTACTAAGCAATAGATTTTACTTCTATATTATTGCCCATTTCCATAGTTATCTCTACAGGATGCTAGTTTTGACTAATACTGGTAGAGAAAGCAAGCGAGTAAGAGGAAGAATTTTGTAGATTAAGTTTCTGTATCATTGGTTTTCTTATACTCAAATATCTCTAGTTGGCATCAAGATTGTGGAATTCAGTCGTGATTGTTATGTGCTGGAATTTTCATTGGAATTATTTCCTCAGGTTGTTTTCGGGGTTTTGCTTTCCATAGGCTTTGGCTTTTCAAATAAACTGTTGCACCCCACTGGTGTTTCTCATTATCTGATGTAACATGCTCTCGACGTAAGAGGGAATAAAAAAAAGATTGATTCCCATATTGGTTTCAAATGCTTATGCCCCTCATATTCGCAATTGCAGTTGTGAACCTAACATTGAGTATTAAATTTTTATAATTTTTCTTCAAATTGGCATTTATCCATTACATGCTCAAAAAGCATTAAATCATTTAACTTATCTAGCTGTTGTTAATCAACTGACCTTGGTAAGAATAATTATGTGTGCTTCTCCTTGGCAGCTTCTTGTATGTCTCCGTATGTTAATCCGCAGATGTGTTTATGAGAATATCAGCAAAGATGATATCCAAAAGCTCTTTCCAAATGAGGTTCTTCCTGAATTACAAAGGCTATTGACACTTTTGTTGCAAAAGTTTCAAAGAGAATGGCGGGCAGAGATACACAAGGATGAGGTCTGATATTTATTATGGTCTATTACAAACACATTTATCTCAATTGCGTTGGATGCCCTAGGTAATCCTACTTTTAAAATCAATCATTTTCAGGTTTCTTTTCCACGCTTAAAGGCAATGACTTGGAATATGGGGAATCAGGACAGTGAATTGACAGAGCCGGTGGCTGTTATCAATTTGAAGGTATCAATTTTGTTGGCAAGTTAGTTGCCATTGATGCCTCTTTGTTGCAGATTGGAAATTTTTACTAAATATGAAATTGGGTAAATATGCATCTTTAAAATGCTTACCAAAACATATAGTCTTCTCTAGCAGCACAACTTTCTCTATACTCCCAAAGCAATGATAAGATGATTTTATCTTGCACTTTATGCAGCTCCAAAATGATACACAGGCTCCCCAAGAAGAGTTGGATTTGAAATTCCAATTAGCTAAAGAAACCCTGGATACAATGCTGAAGTCTATGTACTGTATAAGAGATCAGTTGTCTAATTTGGGTCATTACTCAAACTTTCCTTCTCAATTCCAGTTATAGTTTAGGCAGTATAAAGATATGTCTCTTAAAGATATGTCTCTTTCAGATTTGCTAAACTAAATATGTTTTCTTATTTTTTTTCAGGGTGAGACATCAAATGGACTTTTCTCCCAGGAAATGTATGCAATGTAATTTACCAGATATCACATAGAATGGTATAGACGCACAGCTCTCCCCTCAAAGTCCAGTGTTCTCTAGAGTTTACTTCATCTGTAATCTTGGTGAACAACTTTTCCAGTTAGCATATTATGTTAACCTTTATTTGTTTAACCTGCCTATGTGAAGGAAACAAGGAGTAAGGAAAAGGGCGAATAAATAAAATGACCTTGCACCCCTAATCCAGTCAAAGCCCCCAACATTCCCACCAAACACACACACACAGACCCTCTCCTTTCATTTTCCTTTTGTGTAACCATACTCTCTCCACGAGAGAGAGTACTAAAGTATGTAGCAAATTAGCATAACTTTGAGTGGCATGACTAACAAATAGGAACTATAGGACTAGCAATGTCAAAACTGGGATAGAAGAATTAGAATCAGAATATTTAAAGAAAAGGAAAATATATTTAAAGAAACATGTGAAGCTGATATGTATTAATAAAAATGTTAGCAGTAGTGGATGGCTGTCGCTAATTCTGAGACTTTTCAAGAGTGGATATCGCAGTATGTAGCGAATGAAAATAACTTTTGAGTCGCAATTATCTAATGGAGCAATAGAACTGCCCGTGTCAAAATCAGGACAGAAGACTTGCAATCAGAAATATCACTTTAGGCACTACATTTGGTTGTACTTCTTTGGGTACTTTAAAAAAGGGTAAAATATTGTTAAAGAAGCATGTGAAGCTGATATGTTGAGATCAACGAAAATGTTGACAGTAGTGGTAAAAATTGCTGAGTGGGGAAAAGGAATTACGTCTCCTGAAAGCAATAATTGGATGCTTGAACTAAATATGCATATTGTTTCAGGTTTTCTTCTAATAGCAACAGTGCCTTGTGGAAGAAGAAAGAGTGCTTTGCTTTGGTTTTAGCTACCTATGCTTATGACAGTTGTGGAATCACAGATTACTTGAGATTGACCATGACCAAAATTCCAAGTTTGATCGTTTGATCCACATGAAATGGGCCTGTAGCCAGTAGCGGGTAGCCAGGGTTCCTTTGTGTTTCGCCTGGTTGGATCATAAGCACTGAAAGTTCAAGGGTTTGACAGGCTTGATCAAAGTTCTACTTGTATTTAATTTCTATTAAATATGAGGGAGAGAGAGAGAGTGTGTTGCAATGTCTTGTTGAAATCATAAGGATGTTAATAGCCGTATCTCGCATGCAAAGATATTTGGTGGTACCCATGGTGGCCTAATGATTCTAGTTTGACTCTTCAAATTTTTTTGAGTCATTCTGTTTTGCTTCCATATCATATGAGTCATCCGAAGTTTGGTAAAATGGACATATTCAAAGCTAAAGTGATGGTTAATGCACATGACAAGTTTTCTATGGGTTTAGCTGCTATTCAATCTGCAGTTGGGGTCTTGATTCCGACGGGGACGTCAAGTCAGCTTAGCCCAAAATGGAATTCATTTTCAGTTGGCTCCACGTGACAAAGACTACCATTTTCAAGGTAAAATAACTGCTTTCACAGACAGAAGGTTCAGCCATTGTAGGTTGCATGTAAGATTCCTTGTGCAATCTTTGCAGTAAATAATATGAAATTCTTGTTAAACCTTTTTGGAATAGAAAATGGATCAATTTGCATGAATATAATCTTCGCATGCCCAAAATGAAATTAATCTGGTTTACAAGAACTTGCACGGTTTTCATCATCCTCCATGAATTGATCTTAACAGGACAGCCCAGGAAAGATGTTGAAGTAGTGGGTTAGTTTAATTAATTTAATTTGAAAAACCATGAGCACTTTTACACTGATTATCATGTGAAAGTAAGATAATAGCACAATTAATGAAGGATTAACTTGTTTACTTAACATCAAAAGCATTTGTCTTGCCTTGATTCTGAAAGGAAAATTCATTTTCCCAACACATGCAATATCTAATTGTTTAATGAAAATGGCAAAAAACATAAGAAACTTCAAAGTCTTAGCCGTTGGCTTCTCTATTGTGGTGTGAATGGAAATTTGATCTACCGTGTTAGGTGCGGCAAAATAATTTTGACAAGAGCCTCACTCACCCTGATCAGGTCCGGATGTGGACTCAGCTTTGAAGGATCAACAGCTGATTGTGTGCCCCGACGCCTTAAGGGGTGCTTGATGTTTTGTTTTTGCCTAGAAAAAGATCTTATCTCCCATTGGTGGCTTTGAGTTGACAATTACATATATATTTATTTATTTCAAATCGGGGCATCCTCCGACCCGGCAGGTAGGCGGCTTTGTTGATTGAAATGTGAACCATTTTGCAACCTCCTTCGGACATTTAACAACTAGTTAGCAGCGATAGAAAATTCAAAGGAAAAAAAAGAAGAAAAACAATGTCCCTATATTTAAATAAATAAATAAATATATATATATGTAAGTGAGGTTGAATTTATGAGATAAAAAGGTTATATTTAATGTAAGATCAATTACTTAATTAGTCTTTTTAATACACTTTAAAAAAGTCATCGATTTAGATGTAATCAAAGAAATGTCGACCCAAATCAATTGTTTTATCGAAACCTCACTAGAATACATTAGATGATAACCGAAATCATATCAAAGCACATCTTGTTAAGATATTTAAATAAAAATCTTATATCGTTATCGATAGGTAATAATAGTTTAATAGAGTAAGATTTAAAATATATATATATATATATTTTTTTTGCGTCAGATGTGAGTAACTGTGACGGTACTGTAGACACAATCAATCAAAATTTCCTACAAAGAAAAGAAATAATAGTAAAAAACAAAAGACTTTGCATTGGGTCAGACAACAAAAAGTAGGGCCCCCAAGCGGGCAAAACCCAATCCAAAAGAGTAACAGAACCGAAACCGTAGAGATAACAACTGTAGAGAAATCCCCCATTTCCCCAAACCCTTTGCCCTTGCTCGTCCTGCGGTTGTATTCTGGAGCACGATAAGAATTCCGCTGACGTTACATCTCCTCTCCCAAACCAGCCGGCCACACCAAATTCTTTCCAAATTTTCAGTTTCAGTTCTGACAACAGGAAAGTAGGAAGCCGAGGGAACAAAAAAAAAAAAAAGAAGGAAATCCTCACCGAAGCAATACACAAAAAATGGCCGTTTCCACTTTACCTCAACTCTGAAGTGTAGCCGGCTCTCTCAATCCCCAAATCGTTTCTCAAAAAAGGGATAAAGAAAACCGGAGAACGGAGTCCCGTAGAGGACTAAAAGCATCGACCATGGCCACGACTACGACGAGCCTTGGCACGGGAGGCGAGGACCGGGTCATGGCGACGGCTCAGCAGATCGTGAAGAGTCTCAACACTCCAAAAGAGGTTCGTGAAGACATGCTCTTGATTTTCTCGAGCTTCGACAACCGTTTGTCCAACATCTCCGATTTAATCAACGACGACTCCAAGAAAACTGGCGTCCGCTTCGACGCCGCCGAGAAAGTTATCCTTCGGTGGGACTCTTCCTCCTCCAACCCTGACGCTTCCCGCCACTCTCTCCCTTGGGAAGACTCTCCCGATGAAGCCACCGAGTACCTCTCGGCTGTTGACGAAATCCTTCAATTGGTTGTAGATATGTCGATTCGGTCCAATAACGAAATCATGGACCGGGCTGAGACCGCTATTCAGATGGCCATGTCGAGACTGGAAGATGAGTTTCGACTTATTCTGATTAGGAATACCGTCCCGCTTGATTCCGATAGGCTTTACGGTTCGATCCGGAGGGTTTCCCTTTCTTTCGCCGCGAATGAAGGGGAAATTGATGAGGAATTCGAGAGTTTTGGAGAGGTCGATAGCGAAAGAGGGTGCTTTCACGAGCGAGGAGCGAGTTTGGGAGATGATTTGTGTGTGGATTTGATAAATGCTGATGCTGTTGTGGAGTTGAAAGAAATTGCAGACCGGATGATCCGGTCCGGGTATGAAAAAGAGTGTGTTCAAGGTTATAGTAGTGTTAGGCGTGATGCTTTGGATGAGTGTCTGGTGATTCTCGGAGTTGAGAAGTTGAGTATTGAGGAAGTTCAGAAGATTGAGTGGAGAGCTTTGGATGAAAAGATGAAGAAGTGGATTCAGGCTGTTAAGATTACTGCTAGGGTTCTTCTGAATGGGGAAAAAAGGCTTTGTGATCAAATTTTTAATGGGTCCGATTCAATTAAAGAGATTTGTTTTAATGAGACAGCTAAAGGGTATATAATGCAGTTGCTGAATTTTGGGGAAGCTGTGGCGATTGGGAAAAGATCATCTGAGAAGCTGTTTAGGATTTTGGATATGTATGATGTGCTGGCAGATGCATTGCCGGATTTTGAGATGATGATAATAGATGAATTTGTGTGTAGTGAGGCCAAGGGAGTGCTGGCTGGATTAGGGGATGCAGCGAAAGGGACTTTTGTGGAGTTTGAGAATGCTGTGAAGAATGAGGCTTCAAAGAAACCTATGCAGAAAGGGGAGATTCATCCTCTTACACGTTATGTGATGAATTATGTGAAACTGCTTGTGGATTATTGTGAGACTTTGAACTCGTTATTAGAGAGTGATGAGGATGAAGCAGATGGATTGCGGAATGAAGATAGTGAGTTGGACACTATGACTCCATTCGCTAAACGGTTGTTGTTGTTGATATCCTCTTTGGAATCCAATCTTGAGGAGAAATCGAAACTTTATGAGGATGGTGCATTACATTGTACATTTTTGATGAATAATATTTTGTATATAGTGCAGAAGGTGAAGGATTCTGAGCTAGGAAAGCTTTTGGGAGACAATTGGGTTCGTAAGCGGCGGGGTCAGATACGCCAGCATGCTACAAGTTATCTTAGGGCTTGTTGGACCAAAGCTCTCAACTGTTTGAAGGATGAAGGAGTTGGTGGTAGCTCTAATAATGCTTCCAAGGTAGCCTTGAAGGAAAGATTTAAGAGCTTCAATGCATGTTTTGAAGAAATATACAGGATTCAGACAGCTTGGAAGGTCCCAGATCCTCAACTTCGTGAAGAACTTCGAATTTCTATATCAGAAAAAGTAATTCCTGCTTACCGCTCCTTCATGGGGAGGTTTGGGAGTCAGCTGGAGAGTGGAAGGCATGCTGGAAAATACATTAAGTATACACCAGAGGATTTAGAAAATTATCTATTGGATTTGTTTGAAGGATCACCTCTTGTTCTTCACCATATGAGAAGAAAGGGTACATAAGATACAGGACTCTTGGTACAGGTATGGACCTTGCGCTCATGAAGGATTAGCTGGAGCAAGAGTTCACCTATTTATGTATCTGATGACATGTTTTTTATTCTGTCTGTTTGATGTTATAAACACAGGTTTTTGTGAAAGTTAACTGTCATCCCTTTATATACTGTATCTTGTACATGGTTTATAGTCTATAGTTTCTTTTATGTGTGGATTTGTCTTGGTTCATGTATTTTATTTCATGAATCACCATTAGCATTGTAGCAATACTATCACCTTTCTTATTGCCATGCTTCACAGACCAGTTGATAGCCTGCCATATCTATTGTTCACACTCACATAGCATTCTTAAGTGCCTGAATTTAAGTGCCAGTGGAACAAAAGCTGGTCACTATGTAATATATGGACTAATACTAATGTTTATATATTGTAGGATTGAAACAAATAGATATATTTTGATTCCCAATTCTGCCATGTCACTTTGGTAATACCTTCTGGTAAGATTTTAGACGATAGTTTTTTTGTTTAAAATGAAGTAATATCTGGTTATATGACTGTCTTAAAGGAATGGGCTGCATCTCTTTCACTTTTGATTTCTACATCTATTGTCTAAGTTTTTAATGGGAACTGCATCTTTGGTATAACCGGGGAAAGAAAAGAGGTTAGGACCATTCCAGGTTTAGCCGTGTAGTCTTGAAAAGAATTGTTTTCTGCAAGAAGCATTTGTCAAATGTGATCGAATAAGCAATCAAGCTGATAAAAATGTTTAGTTGAGTTCTGCTATTAATTTGATCTGATGGGAATGTGCATTAGCGTAATTAGGAGATTCAGTGCTTTAAAGGAACGATCAGATCTAAAGAATGAACACAATCTTACCCCAATGTAATTTCTGTCAAGCTAGGTGAAGAATAAAGGGAGCTGCAAGAACTTATAGCTTTGGGAATGCTAATCTAAATTCATGTACAATGCTGGACTTCTGGAAGGGATAAGAGTAGCCCCTTTCCTGTTATGAGAGGATTATATTATTTGCGTCAACACCATAGAAGATTTCTGGATTCATTGACAGGAAGTAAGTTGCACCATTCATATGGTGTGAGTTAATACCATCCGAGAATTATGTGGACGACAAAGGCCCATAGGATACAAGGTTCAAATTTCTGCATTAGTATTTTAGAGTTAGTGGTATCAGCAAGCATGGATGAGCATTTCAGTATTTAAAAGCTTAATTCAGATGCTATAACTGTTATAAGCATAGGTGGTGGGAGAGTAGGACCGATTTGTTGTCGAGTGTTGTGAAATTTTTTGGTCCCATTTTGCAGCAGATGGTTCTCTGTTTCCCTTCATGAAAATACTCCGAGGAGGGTACAGGTTAATTAATTTTAAATGGGAACATCCTGACCAAAAACGAAAATGGGGACATGCAAAACTGTTCTTAGAATCATAACAGGGATAATTGCTGTAGTTACTCCAAAAAAATAATGGAAACGGGAGCACCATGTTATTAATGATCATAAAGTTGTTGGAAGGAGGAGGGCCTTTTGTGAAGCTTGGATCCATTTTCACTTATTTACTACAGCCACTATATGAAGGTAACTCAAATTAGGAGGGAAGGCTAGACTGCTTGCTTTTCCTACATGTAGGGTATAGTAGTTTGCTTATCTCGGTCGGTGGTTGGTATATGGTGACCAAAAATTCCACGCGTTTCAAGTACATACCCATGGGCTTGCAAATGGAGGGGGGAAGAAAGCACCAGTGCTCTTCCATCAAGTGCATAGTTTTGTTGGTTTGGATTGAAGTAAAACAAATGGAAGAAAAAGGAGAACAAGGCTAAAGAGTAAAAGGAAGTTGGGTGGGATAAAGGAGGGATAATAGCTTGTGCTTGCAATGCATGTAGATGTAGTGGAAGCTTCCTTGCCTGAATGTTCATTTGGGAAACCTATGGCTTTATGGTTTTAGTTAGAGCCTCGAAAATATGCTTAAGTTTCCTGTGCTCTTGGTTCTTAGAAAAGATTGATGGCAAGGGAAAATTGCTTCAAATGTTGGGCAAACTTGCCTCTAGAGTCTCGCCAACAATTTCAGGGATAATTGAGCAGGTGACTTTTGCAACAACAGTGCAGCCATTAGAAAAGTTGAATCCCACGTAAATGGTCCGAGCACTCCATTCAACTTTGCTAAAAGCAGGGAGTTAATGTTTCTGGTTCTGGTCTTTGGGGAATTGGGAATTCATTTTCTGCTGTAGCTTTCTTGAAATGAAAACGGTCTCCCAGCACCTCAACCGAAACACGACAGTTTTAATCCAAACTAATTAATAATTTCTGTTGCCCTTTCGTTTCCATTCTGGCATTTGGTACCAAAAACTATGGGAATCAATTGTTATCAGTTGAAAAACAGTAGAAACTAGTTTTGAAATGATCTTCATTTTGATTTGAGCGTTTGCCCATAGCTGAAGAACAATGTATAGAGCATAAATCCCGGGCTGACAACGAGAGGGACGGGAAACAGGACCACCCTGCTTTCCAGCAACAGGAATCGTAAATAAACCCACATGTTTTTCTCGGACATTATGTAGCAAATAAACGTGCAATGGACCTTGTTTGGTCGAAGATTCGCATTAACTGCAACTTTCTTGGACAAGCCATTTGTTATTCTGCGTATTCAAGAATAAATTGCAGGGTCCATGTGCACCAGTTATCACATCCCTTGGTGGTCCACTGAAGACAAACTCTGGAATTAGGGGGGTGGCACCCTGTCCATTTGTCACTGGTGGTTAATGTGGCATTTTTCGCAGGACAAAGATGAAGTGTTTCATGCTTTGTTGGCCATTAGGGGCAAAATTCTTGATGGCTAACCAAACAAGGAAGGGCCAAGGGACATGGGATATGGATGGCGATGGCAGCTGCAGATGGTGCAGACGTCAACCAATTTTACCCCTTGGGTAATTCACCCAAGTCACCAAAAAGCAACCTGGCATGTGGTAAGATAGACTCCCTTTGCAATTTGGACTGGTTTCATTGGAATTTTGTTGGTAAAGCAGACATTGCAGCAGCTGTGAGCAGAAGATTGCTGGCGTATAAACTTCGGAATAGCCACAAAATTGTCGCCTATTCATGCAGCATAAGGAATACTATCTTTCCAGCTACAATGAGGAAAATTGTCTATAACGAAAATGGTTGCTCAGGAAAGGTTGGCTCCTTGCTAGCAATGAACGTGCCTGGTGGCTTATTGTACAATCTATTGCTGAACTTGTACCCAGAGCCTCCAAGGGCATCAATCCAACTTCATTTTTAATTAGAAATTCTCTCTATTTTACCATCAAAGTTATCAGCTTAGAGGCTTGAGCTCAAACTTGTTTGCCCAAGTTAATGGCTTAGCCTCCTCCAAGGGGAAAGACTGTTAAAATATTAGTGTCCAAACTCCAAACTGTGTTTTAGGCTTAGAATGTGTAACGGAGGCCCAGGCCCATATTTTAGGTTTGTTCATTTCTTCATTTTGGGTCCTTGTCTTTCGTTCATGTTAACATATATAATATGATCATGATGAAATATTAGCGTATATGAAATCATAAATGTATGTGACATTTACGGTTTGTTCCAGCGTATGCCTAATACCTCGACACTTTGTCCACAACGAAAATTTTCTTGCATTTTTATTACTTTAAACATAGTTATTAAAATTGATCCAGTCTTTTTTTTTATTTATTGATTGATTAATCTGGTAATTCGATTTTTAACTCAGATAAGTTTTTTTAATTAGATAACTTATGTAATTGACTTGAAAAAAATTCGTGTTAATCTCTCGGATTTTTTAAAAAACTGACCGACTCATCCAATGTTTTATTGGACTCGAGTCAATTAAATATGACCTTTTTAAAATTATATCTAATTATAATTTTGCATGTTAATTATTAATTCTTTTTTCATTTCCATTAAAAAGTTATTAAAAAAATCTATTGTATAAAATTTTGTAAAAATAATATTTATAAGCTTACCTCTCTTTTCAATTTTTTTCAATGATAATGAATATCTCATTTTTATATTGTAAATTATCATCCATACAATTATTCAAAATATTTAAATATTATAAAATCTTATTTATAATATTTTAAAATATTATAAGTAACCCAAACAGTGAAACCATTGATCGAATGAACCCAAACTTTGAACTATTATTGATCTGATTCTAAAAACTATAATTTTAAATATCTAAAAGAATGTTATCAACATTAAAAATTTATAAAATTGGTTGGAGATTAATTTAATTCTAGGCCAAATGTAATTATTCATGTTTAAGAATTTATTATCATTATTGATTAGTGCATGATTTTTTTTTTAAGAGTATAGATTCGGATCTTCCTTCACTAAAAAAATATCAAATTTATAATTTATTTCAATATTTTATATTATATATATAATATTAATTATAAAATATAAATAGTCTTCATTATTACTTATATTAATGATCAATTTTTTGAGTAATTTGATTATAAATTTTGAATACCAAAAACTGATCAAAATAGTCGAATAAAACAAAACAAGTAACAGATGAAAATTGAAATCAAACAAACCAAACTAAATTAATTGAATTCAACTGATTTCATTCAGTTTATGTCGTTGGAACAGATAAGTTCGGTTGAAACCGGTTAATGCTACCATTAGTGAAAACTGATAACAAATTGCAACTTCTGGCTCCCATAATTTTTTGGTGAATGCATTCGATCTTATGATAGGATTGATATTACATTTTAGTCTCAATTATTCCCAAATTTAACGTCTTTGTTTTATTTGCTTATGCTTTAGAATAAAATATTGGGTACTCATTCGAAGAAGAAAGCAAGAAGATGACTTGCTATTATTAGATTGCAACACAGAAGTTCGTTGAAATGGAGTTCCTGGAAACACCAAAATTTACAGAAACTGGAACCTGCCGATACAGAACTCAAAAGTAAAATTAATTACAGAGGCTCGTCTATGTTACAATCTGCAATCCAATTAGTCTCTCCAACACAAATGCAGGATCACAAAGCAATGGAAGTCAGTCACAGGAAGCAGCCAGAGCATACAAATTTTGGTTACTCTTAAACCCTGCTGTTCTCAGGTAGAGGCAACACACCATCAAAGAAATCACCAAAGTAGCCGCGGGGCTCGTGTACTAACCTTGAAATGATGTCTCTAAGCGTGATCACTCCTTCCAAATTCCCTCCATCATC